AAGCCGACAATATGAAGACGATTTATAAGCCTTGGACATATAAATCAACACAAATTCCATGTTTTCAATTGCTTTTGCCATTCGTTCTACGATTCGACCATACATATTTTCCAGATCAATCAACACATGAAATTTGCTCTCAACTTAACGGTAATATAGATGATGACAAAGTTCTTTGTCCTTATGGCAGTACGTATTTTGAGTATTTTGAGCTGCATGATACCGAACATACCATATGAGGCGCTTGCGTGTTGAAAACACTTGGGCATTCTTAAAGCTTTAAACTTTTGAACATAAATTATTCTTTGCGGCAGTCGCGCTCTAGTCTTACTGGGTGACCCTAGCCTTACAGGGCTCTAGCCATAAGACTAGTTAAATCTTTCGCAAGCGTCAGGTTCTCGAACACTACTTTGATCGATGATCACATGATTCAGGATTCTATGTTTACAAGTAAATTAGAGAAAAGAATCTGACATTAAAAACATGAAACAAAACTGTGGATCCCATCACCAATAAACATTCCTTAACACATTTTGACAATTTTTTACCGTTGTTGGTATAGTTGAAAAAATAATATCGTCTGACAGAAGAATACAGAGCACGACAGCTAACTCAATCGCACAACTTCCACTGTCTAAAAAATAACTAAGAACTTGCAAACTGCTGACACAAAACTTTTCACAGTCGCATATCTGCATTACACGTAATTCAGCCACCGAAAACGTGATCCTAGAACATATTCTCAGTGTCTTCAAACTTTAACAATGGTTGAATGGAAAAGAATTAAAATTCGAACAATGTGTCATCAGAAAGTGAAAATGAAGCACTTCGAAACAGGACTAAAGCAAACTATCCAAAACATTTTGTTTAGGACAACTGGCGGCTAATAGATCAACTGCTTACACAGTACACTACATAGTACACACCGGGTTCTCACGGAGCCGACTAGCTCAAAACCCAACCACATCGTTAAAACTCTCATAAAATACTCCCTTTCCTTGATTAACACGCTGATAGAGTCAGAAAAGGAAAAACATGTATTTTCCTGCTATTAGGATTTCCAGAGGTTTTCTAGAAATCCATCGTAAGAGAACACATAACTTCAAAGCTGTTTTCGTATTCCAAATATTCAATCTACTCTTCTGGTAATATCCTGGAAGCTATCCTGAGATATTTTCCTCAAAACGCAGTTTCACTAGGTTTACCCACCTTTTTCTGAAAAACAACATACAAAAGCGTGAATCAGCATGGTGTCTTCTAGCGGTTCGCAAAATTATGCCTGATAAGAAAATGGTTTCCGACTACATCTCATCTACGGAAAGACATACATCTGACGGGAATTTCAATCAAAGCATATAAGCATATGACTCGGCATGTCGTCTTCTACCGCCTCACGAAATTGTGCCTGATCGACATGTCTTCTAAAACTGTTCCGAATTCTTCACATTCAATTTTCCTCTAATCTTTATCATGAATATTTCATATACCTGCTACATTCATAGTACTACTGTTCGTTTGCGTGACACGACTCTTCCGCGAACAAGGCTGCTGCTCGTCTTTTATCATGTGCCTGCTGTGGAGTCTTGAAAAGAGGATATCATGTGCTTGCTGTGGAGTCTTAATAAGCCTATCTTTGATAAGCAAAGTCAAGTTTCCCTGAGGGTAAAATTAATCTTGATTGTACGGATAATTGAATTATTCATTCCACCATGTTTTAGATAATATATTTTTTTGTTGTTTTATATTTAAATTTAACCAAAATTATCAACCCAGGTTTGACCAATGTATTTTTGTGCAATATGGAACACGTAGCCTCATAAACAACATGTGATTTTAAATTTTCTGATATTCTTTCCTTGGTACTTATTTTTTTCAAGTCTTGATGCTTTTCTTTAATGTTGTTAGAAAAAAGACGAAACCGACTTGAAAAGAGGATATCATGTGCTTGCTGTGGAGTCTTATTACGCTGTTGTTGCTTGGCTATCAGTTGTTGGTGGTATACTTCGTCTATCGCCAATTGCACTTTTAATTAATCGGAAATCCAACCCACTAGGATAAACATATAATTGGACACGACGATCTGTTCTGTCTTTTGTGGATAGAATAAAACGTTAAATTTTGTGAAACTGTTTCTTTGGTAAAAAAGGAAGCCGTCAGAAATATAAGACTATGGACAATAACAACAACTATACCAACAACGGTAAAAAATCCTCAAAATGTGTTAAGGAATGTTTATTGATGATGGGATCCACAGTTTTGTTTCATGTTTTTAATGTCAGATTCTTTTCTCTAATTTACTTGTAAACATAGAATCCTGAATCATGTGATCATCGATCAAAGTAGTGTTCGAGAACCTGACGCTTGCGAAAGATTTAACTAGTCTTATGGCTAGAGCCCTGTAAGGCTAGGGTCACCCAGTAAGACTAGAGCGCGACTGCCGCAAAGAATAATTTATGTTCAAAAGTTTAAAGCTTTAAGAATGCCCAAGTGTTTTCAACACGCGAGCGCCTCATATTGTATGTTCGGTATCATATTTGCACTACAACGACCATATTAACTATTTACGGCCGTACTATAAGGAAACTATATCTCGATTGGCTTGTGCAATACCGTTCCTTGATAACTGATAGATGGTTAAGCAGAAACCATCGTAATTTTATTTGCATTAAGATTTATTTGATCAATCAAAATTTCAATTTAATGAGCAAAATATTACATTTTTGATCCATTAAAAAGCGTGTTCGTAGAAGATGTACCACTGTAATATTTTTTTTGTTCTGTTCTTTTGTCAAAAGATTTTCTAAAGATAGTTCTGTCTCTCTGACCGGTTGATGTTTTATATTGGTGATGTCACAATATCACGATAAAATAAAATTTGATTACACTAAGTAAAATCAGATGCATTAGTCTCATAACTAACTTCATAGACTACGTTTGTGTATTGAATGTACTTTTTCACGTTGTTCCGTTGTGCTTTTAAGGAACTATTTTCAAAATACAAAAATGTGTTTTTGGATAAACTAGAGTACAGGATAATGAGAAAAACTACTCTCTGAAAAAAACTCGCGCGACTATCGGTGGTCGAGGAGGAAAGAGATAATATAATATAAATATAAGATCGATAATATGATAAAAAGGAAAAAGAAAGTGACAGCGGTGAGATTCGAACCAGAGTTGGAACCGGGCCGGCCCGGGCGGGTGCCGGTCCGGTCCGGTGTAAAAGTTTAGACCGGCCGGTCTCCACCGATCTTTTGCCGGTCTAGAAATATTTTCAAACCGGCCGGTGATCGACCGGTTTTAAATTCTTAGCATTTTTCTCTTCTTCGTTCAAGAAAACTGACATGTTCTTCATACATTAAATTTAAGACAAATGACTTAACATACAATAACCTATAATTAAAATAAGAACAAACCAGACTATTTTCTTCTTCTTTTGTTTCTTAGTCATTCATTGATAGTGATACGGAAAAGGATTAAATCCCTCTCTAGCAATAGCTATTACCGTCATGTTTTCCGTATCACTATCAAAGACTAAGACTGAGAAAGATGACTAAGAAAGAAAAGAAGAAGAAAATAGTCTGAGGGTGAGGGTGAGGGGGGTATTTTGGTTTACTGATAAAAGCGTCTAAACCGCCCAGTTTTTTGCCGGTTTTTCACCGTTCTCGAAATTTGTTGAAAACCGGCCGGTCTTTTTGCCGTTTTTCACGGGTCTAAAAAGATTTTTGAGCCGGTCGGTCTGGTCCGGTCTGCTGTTTTGAACCGGCCGGCCCGGCCCGGCCTCTTATTTTTAGACCGGTTCCAACTCTGATTCGAACTCACGCCCTTTCGGACCGGTGCCTTAAACCGGCGCCTTAGACCGCTCGGCCACGCTGCCTTGCCTTGTCTGGTTTCTGCAAAGAGAAGCTTCAATGACGATGGTTTTGTTAAAAGGCTGAAGGCGTAATGAAAATGAGCTACCGTATAACAGGTATGGTGCATGACAGTATAACAGTTTCTTTCCTCATCAGGAAATCTCTAGTTCCTTTACTAAGTTTAAGTTATCAACAAAAATTAAATCAAAAGACATTGCTGATTTTGGTCTTGTAGGCTTTTCAGTTATGTGATACAATTGTACACTTTCTGGATAAACGTAAAATTTTCCCTTAAGAAGTGGAAGGTTTAGTAGGACACCAATCGAAGTTTGAGCGTTAAAGACTTCCAAATGAATAATATCAGCATTCTTATAACATGTATTACTTCTGAACTCACGTGGGAACCTTCTAGGTGTGCGACCGCTTTTCTCACGAGATGCGGTAGTTTATAGATAATCGACTGTGCTGTTTCCGAATATGATAGCCGTTTTTGCCTATAGGCCTTTCCTAACCGATTTCTGAGAAACTGGTTGTTAGGTTCCCGGATGAACTGAGATCTTTCTCACCTAGCGTTTATTTACAAATAAAAAGGATCTCTCGCTTAACAATAAAATTGATCTATTTATATAAGAAATGTAGCGCGATAATCTTGAGTAGACTCTGCGCAATAACCTTGAATATATTCTTGCGGGATACCTTAGACTATATGCTTGCGCAATAACCTTCACTATGATCTTCTCCCTTATGAGACGGCTCTAGTATGTGACATAACACCTTCCCATGCAACACGATGAACTTCCACGTTCATCGAAATTTAAATGCCTCTTGAAGGTCTTTTTATGTTAAATGTTCCAGTACTGTCACTACCATTATCCTTGAGCAAATGTTTCGATTTGAGTACGTACGATTCAGCAAACTGGAATCTAGGATTTGCCACTAGCACGGTTGGTTTTCCCTTTGTTTGCATTTTAGTATTATCACTATTGGAGTTTGATCAATCATTCATGAAGCTGCCACCAGCATGATTCATTAGACCAATACCACTATTTACCAGCTAAAATAGTTTCAACACTTTTCTAACAACTAAATACATAATTATGTGGATAATCGTGGGCCCGTAAGCAGTTGAAATGCCGGTGTTGTTTTTGTTTATGGCACCATATACGGCCATAGCCAATCCCAATGTCCAGATGCATCTTCAATATTGCTATAACCGAACAATCCACTATCTTGTTTTACATGTTTAACCTTAATTACCACACGAATAATTGCCACAATTAATTGAATAAAATGTTCAGAATCACCAGCTATCGACTGTATGGGTCTCCGTAACAACTGACCACCTAGTATGGATATTAGTAGCAATGGCAATAAAACCCAAGTATTTAGTATCCAACTACCACCCAGTGAAGATTTTAAATTTGGCCTAGTGAATTAATACGTTGTTTGTTTGGAGTACATTGGACACCTGGAAAGGGTCCCTCGTCAGTCAAAACTGCATCTAAATGCTCAGTATAATCATTCATATCAATCCAATCTGATCTATAACACAGTGTGGACAATATCATTTTTGACAGAGGAAACTTTATTAGGAAAGGAGTGTTTCAAAGTAAGCATCCTCCAATTTAGCTAAACGCTTACAAGGTAGATTATCTGTTCGGCTTGTCCAAATGTTACGGAATTACTTTTTTCAACTTTCACGTGCCATAACGTTTCTGAACGTGATCCGAATGCAATGACGCTTTCACCAGAGGTAGACAGTACCGATTTTTATCACGTCTGAAAATTTCGTTGAGTTTGGGTGATCCCATAGGGAGTTATTAAAAAAATAACGGCTGTTACGGAATTATCGAAAATGGACTTTTTTTCTGTGAACTTTTTTCTGTGAGTATGTATTTTTTTGATGCCTCAAAATGTCAGTTTTGATGATCAAATTTTATTCTACCAAAATGATCGCTAAAAAGTAACATTTTTGAGCACCAGATTAATTAATGAAACAAATAAATTACAAGAAAAAACAAATTTGAAAAATAGTTTTAATTAAAAGAATCAGAAAGCTCACAAGAAATTTCTCTTCATCTATTGCCATCCCTTGTGATCTGAATTATTCTGTCAACACAGAACAGTATAAATAACACCCCTAAACTGTATTCAAACTGTATTTGATTATGACAAATATTGCTCGTCTTGTTACATTAACATGTCAGGTATTGATTATGTCAATCAAATAAATAATAAACTGAGCCCTAACAATAAATTAAATAAAATAAGAATGTTAATGCGTACTACTTCATCAGTAGTTTATTTATTGTGCGGATTAATTTCTTTTGCAGCACAACTGGAAGAAAGTCATTTTTTCTTAAAAGGAACCTGCATCATTGTGACGAAATGATTCAAGCGGTTTATTGGAAACTAATCGTGTGTCCTATTTTCTTTTATCGAGTAGACACTAAAACCAAGTGCATCAGTAATCGCCGGTATATCATAATTATTTCAACAGGAAGACATATACACGTGAAGGGTATTCGTTTTATGGTGATTTTTTGATGAGAAAGAATGAGCACCAACAAGAACAAGAAATAGCAATATGCGTTCAAATTTCTGCTTTAATCTGCTGTGTGATGAAGAAAAACAGAAAAAATGTTATTTGTACTGTGAGAACAGAAAGCAAGTTTTTATTATATATATGCGCAATATGAGCTTTGACTGCAGATACTAGGAAGAACAATCTTTTGAGTACAGTTTAGCTATTCGATCAAGGATTTTTACTTTACCGAGTGAAACTACTATAGATTTCAAAATATAAAGACCACGGATGTTTTCTGGACAACTTTTGATAGAAAGCAGCTAAAGAGCTCCGATTTTTGTAATGCGATGGAGAAGACTTCAAGGCATGTTTCCACAAGCAAAATGGTTTTTGGAAGAGTTTTCTGAAACAGATTTTATAGGAGATCTTTTAAAAAACCGGACTGTATGTAAACATTTTTCAATAATCTTCTACTGATTTCTTTTCATGGACTGGTAACCCGGGATCTCTTCAAAACGGGAGTCAAGCGAGAGCTTGATTTTGTCCGGTTCGGAGATTGAATAAAATTTCCTAAGGGTCCTCGTACCAGAGTCATAACCGAATCGACCGATTGACCGGTAACCGATGCGATCCGATTACATTTTTTAATCAGTCGATCCTCACCGATTTATCTGTTGAAAAAAAATTTGAAAAAAGCACATTCTCATAGCGCTCCGGTCGCGTTTGAAATTCTTTGAAGTTTACATTTATCTCTTTTCAACGAAACGGGAATCCAACATTTTGCTTTCTGACTTTTGATCTTGTTATGTTCGAAGTTGATCGTTGTCGCATCTTTGTATACTAATCATAAGAAATATCTTTTATTATCTTCTTTTGATGCTATTAATTGAGATGATCACCCATTATTTCATTATTAACTTATTTTTAGTAGAGATAATATTGAACAAATAAAATTCACACAATCACAGCGATATTCCACACGCTCACTCTTCTATCTACACGTATATTCATTTGTAAAGTTGCCGGAGAGAAGTTAAGACATTGAATAAAGTGAATATCACGGTTTGATAAGTAAAAGTTGTGGAAAAAAATTTTCTCTGGATCAAACGAAGCCTTTACTCTTCGGTGTTCGACTTTTGAAGTCGACACACTTTGAGACTTTGCTGTGACAATGTCTCCTTTTTTTATTTCTAAAGTTTTCAGAGAGTATTCTAAGTAAAAGTGCTTATTGTAATTTATCTTTCTTGAAAATTGTTATGACGGCCATATGCTAAGTAATACACTACCGTGGCTATATGCGCACACGCTCCGACGGTACGCGCACCAGTTTTACACTGACAGTACCAGGTTGGAACTGGATCACCTTGGTTAGAATATTGTACCCAACGATAGGAAATCTCACATTGAGTATGTTTCAACAAATCTCGGCAAATGTTAGGCTCTATTTCTAGAATTTTTCGAGACTCGCACTCGTTGTAATACAGGTTTAATATGTTGATGTTTACGCTTTGTTGTAGAATTAATTGATAAATCCCATCAACCGCCACTTTTAAATCTGTTTGTTTCAGGTCGATTGAGACAATTGAAACAATAGCACGAGATGAATCGTTAAAATGTTGATCAATCCTATTATTGTTCACAAGATTTATCAGTTGTTTTATTGTAGCCCCAAGTTTAGTACGAATTTTAATATCAAATTGTTTTTCACCCATCGATAGTTTTCCAGGTTCTAACTCTCTAACGACACTAGATCCAGTGATTGTAACAGGAATAGATGACTGAGATTAAGATTGTCGTAGACGAGAGCTAGTTATCGTAATTGGGATTCAGAATTATTTTGTAATAACGAAGGTGCCGGAAGTGGAGTATTGATGAGTTGCTGTTGATGATGAACGTCGAACTTTGGTTGATTTTCAAGTGTTGAGTGTAGTTTCTCGATTGTGAAAGATAGCTTATCGCTTAAATTTGTGGTAGATAACTGTTGTTGAGATTGAAGTAGCTAACTGATAGAGCAACTGCTGATTCATCTTAAGTATACCACCTTGTTGATCACGTAAACCGCCGTTTAATATTATTATTTAAGTGAACAATCTTTCCACCGCTTGAATTCATTTTAGATTTGAATCATCTCAATAATTCAATTAATTGAACTTGAGAAAGATCAGTGTATGATATTTTAGTAGAATCGTTTAGAGAAGAAAGAAAGATAGATATTAAATACTTCATTAAATGAATTAGTCATTATATATTTTTTATGTATAGAGAGAAAGGAAGAAACGACTGCTCTTGTTGAAGAAAAATGTTGAATGAAACTATCTGTGATGCTTATTTCTAGTAACTAATAAATATAGATTAAACTAATAAAGCATTGCAAGGTACACGAACTTTTGTCACGTGTAAATAACGTTATGCGACGGATATAGCAATGATTCTACTGTGTATCTCTACACCGGTATTTATGTGTAACGAAAGTTCTCGTACCTTGCAACGTTTTATTTTCACGTTACAGTGTATGGCGAAAGTTCAGCAGGAACCGTTAAGAAAACCCGCACTTCCGTCACGTTAGGTGAATTTTCGTCACATCCACAGAAAACACACAGAAATTCAAAGGAACTCACGTCACCATGCTTTTTTCTGAAAAAGGCAGTGTTGTCACATGTGACGAAAGTGCATGCCACCTTATGACGAAGGTGGATGTGACAAAAAAAAGTGCCTTTAACCATTAGATATTTTGAGTCATTCATGCTGTTGTAAATAAAATATATTTTTCTAACCATAGTTTAAGTTGTCTCAGAAATTTCGATTTTATCTTACAGTTTGTCACACTTTTGTATGCGATTGTTATTCGCATCACATACATACAAATTTAATTTTAAATCCACACCAACTGGTACATTCAATAGGATATTATTTGTACACAACTCCATTTATGTACACAAGAGAAGAGAACAGTTTGACAAAAACGAAGATGTTCATCTTTTTTGTAAGGGGTGTGAGTGCGTGAACAGTGGTGAATTAATCGTGTTGAAATAAATGTTGCTACTTCTTCCTCTTCTAACACGATATTGTATTTGATGATAATGATTCAATTGCTTAAATTTGATGAGGAGAAGGAGACAGAACGGAAAAGTGCAGACGAAAATTATTAGAGAATAAAATGTAATCGATGTATATATTTCTAACCAAAAATTGGACCGAGTTATTAACGAACAAGAATCGTCTTTGAAAAAAGTTATGCTTTGCGCATTTTCCGCAGGATACACTATTAGTATTCTTCCGCGGCAACGATGCTAAAGTGGTGCAGTTAGGCAGGTATTGTACGGTCCAACAAGTGGAGAAAAGGGTAATGGTTGGTAGGTGCTATGTAAATCATATATAGTTATGTAATATGTGAATCATTTAGTCAACATTAATCAGTTTTTATTGCGCTATCATCAATGTTTTTAGTCATGCTTTGGTAAAATTGAGATGCTCTATGAGACACATAGTAATTGAAGGATCACCTTCTATTTGTCATATTATATTATCAATAAACTAATGACGAATCTATACGTAATGGAACTCTATCCGAATGTGCTATAACATATATGAATTGAACTGCGAACACATGAACATATATGTATTAACTGCGAACATACCAAGTTATTTTTCATGCCACATAATTGACAAGGAATACCCTTGACATAACCATTTTAAAAAAGGGCAGCATAACCGAGATGAACATATCCTATACTAAGCGATTCCGTTTCAGAAAACGTAATAACTTCAAAACAATGTCATGCTTTGTTATATGTGACGAAAGTATAAATATGTCCTAGAGGCAGTAAATTAACGGATTACACGGATGATAAATTGAATTTGAGGAGATTGTAGAATTTTCCGTAGTAATCTAAGGCTTATTGAGAGTGTAGGAAGAAAGAGAGGTAAGTGAATAGTAAAACATATTCAGCAGACGAAGATTGACGAAGTTAGAACTTGTACCAAAATGAACTATCCACCTCGTTTCTAATCAATTCAGAAAAGCTGACAATAACGAAATTACAATATTTAAACTTAACACGTTTAGTTCAGGAATTATACAATTATTGTACTTATTTCTATCGTTTATTGAAACCAAATGCAATGAAATATTTTGAATTATCCGGTTTCTGGCAAGCTCATGGAGATTTCATTGAACATATCGATGACATACGAAAACAGTTCATATTCCGAACAATGTATTAAAACAAGTTTAATTATTCTTCAAATGGTAAATGTATGTTCGAAACGCAGGCTTCAATAAAA